TCCTTGGTTTCCATGTCCAAGAATAAGCATTTTAATCCTTAGTGCATGCCCTTGTGAAAGTACCATGTGCGTGAAGACCACAGCACCTGACAGGTTGATTGGCATCTAATAAATGATGGTGCCCCTGCCAGCGGGCAGCAGAAGAAGAAAGGCTGGAGCTAGTATAAGCTTCCAAATTTTAAGTACTGTTGAAAATATCCATGTGGTGTCAAAACAGAACTGCATGTGAGATTTTATTCCACAGCTTATTGTTAGTACTGGCAAGCTACTTAAAAAAGTAGTATTTTGGGGGCGCCTGGGTGGCTCAGTCGGTTGAGTGTCCGACATTGGCTCAGGTCATGATCTCAGAGTCTGTGAGTTCGAGCCCCGCAGTGGGCTCTGTGCTGATGGCTCAGAGCCTGGAGCCTGCTTCCGATTCTGTGTCTCCCTCTCTCTCTGCCCCTTCCCTGCTCATGCTGTGTCTCTCTCTGTCTCAAAAATAAATAAAAACATTAAGAAAAAAAAAGTAGTATTTTGGGGCCTTTGGGTGGCTCAGTTGGTTGAGCGTTCACTCTTGATTTTGGCTCCAACCCTTTGTTTCCTAATTCATGAAACAGGGAAATCAGGTCATGATCTCATGGTTTGTGAGTTCAAGCCCTGCCACGGAGCCTGCTTGGGATTCTCTTTCACTCTCTCTCTCTCTCTCTCAAAATAGACAAAATAAAAATAACAATCATAATAAAAAGTAAAAAGTACCAGGTAAAATTAATTAAAAAATAGTTTGTCACCTCTTGAACTTTCTTCCCTCAGTGAAGTTTTTCCTTTTTAATAGATGACAGCAGGATGAGTACATATTCATATCAAACATATTTACTATTTTTTATCTATTAGAGGAAAGTACTACTATATAAGGCACAAGCCACTCCTTTATGTACAGACTATTGCAGATGGAGGAAAAAATAATTGCAAAGAAATTTCCTGTTATGTGGGAATCAAAACACTCACGTGGTTACAAATTATTGACCAGTGCTTAGCTGGTTCTTTGTGGACTCGTACATTTTCAGCCTGGCCTATCTATGAAGGCAAGTCCACTTTCAAAAGAGTTGGACTCTGCAGTTACAGACTCCCTCAAAAGAGTTCAAACAATGGAGGCCAAATGGTTTCAAGAGGAAAATTCCAAATATTAGAATAAAAATTTTAGTTTGTTGTCTGGTTATGTTAAAGAGATACAAAATGGCTTTGGTAACACACAGAGGCTGTGGGTCAGACAGGCTTAGATATGAATTCTGATTCAAGCAAATTTTATTTATTTATTTATTTATTTATTTATTTATTTATTTATATTTTTAAATTATTTTTAATGTTTTATTTTTGAGACAGACAGAGACAGAGCGTGAGCAGGGGAGGGGCAGAGAAAGAGCGAGACACAGAATCGGAAGCAGGCTCCAGGCTCTGAGCTGTCAGCACAGAGCCCGATGTGGGGCTTGAACTCACAAACCGCGAGATCATGACCTGAGCCGAAGTCGGACGCTCAACTGACTGAGCCACCCAGGCGCCCCGGATTCAAGCAAATTTTAGCTAATTGATCTTGAGCTATATAATTACCCTCTCCAACCCATGGCTTCCTAATTCATGAAACAGGGAAATCATTGCCGTTACAGGGCTGGAGTGAGAATTGAATAACAAAATGTGAATACAAAACACTTTGCACCTAGTAAGCAGTCAAAATGGAAAAACCTGTCACAATTATATACTAGAATTGTTTTATTGCTGTTCACACCATCCTGTGGGTAGGGTCACCATTGTGTTCAAATTATGAATTGTTTCAAAAGTGGGAAGTCCCACAATTTGAGGGCTAAAATAAATTGACGAAAGAAAGAATGGCAGAAATTTGTTGCCTCCAAAACATAAAATGAGTCCTTAGGTCAGGATGTTATTCACAGAAGGTGCTCAATAAACATAAGCTGTCATCACCATCATCCTCATGAGAATCGTCCTCCTTATTTTTACTTGTTCCTATTCCATCCCATCTTTCTTGGGAATGACAGCTAGATCTTTAAAAGAGAAGTTTGACATTTTATTTTATTTTATTTTATTTTATTTTATTTTATTTTATTTTATTTTATTTTTTTTCAACGTTTATTTATTTTTGGGACAGAGAGAGACAGAGCATGAACGGTGGAGGGGCAGAGAGAGAGGGAGACACAGCATCGGAAACAGGCTCCAGGCTCCGAGCCATCAGCCCAGAGCCCGACGCGGGGCTCGAACTCCCGGACCGCGAGATCGTGACCTGGCTGAAGTCGGACGCTCAACTGACTGCGCCACCCAGGCGCCCCGAAGTTTGACATTTTAAACATACCTATTTCTTGCATATATTTACAAGTTGGTCACTCACAGGAAACTATGGCAAACATCTGTTTTTTATAATTTACTGTTGAAGAATAACTGGAATACAATGTTATATTAGTTTCAGGTATACAACAGGGATTCAACAGTTCTGTACATTACTCAGTGCTCACCACAGTAAGCATGGTCACCATCTGTCACCATACAACAGTATTGCAATATTATTGATTATATTCCTATGCTGTACTTTTCATCCCCGTGACTTATTTATAGCTGGAGGTTTGTGCCTTTTATCCCCTGTACCTATATCACCCTTCCCCCACCCATCTCCCTTCTGGCAACTACCACTTTGTTTTCTTAAGAGTCTGCTTGTTTCTGGGCACTTGGGCGCCTCATTTTGTTAAGTGTCTGACTCTTGATTTCAGCTCTGGTCACGATCTCACAGTTTGTGGGTTTGAGCCCCGCATCAGGCTCTGCAGCGACAGTGAGGAGCCTGCTTGGGATTCCTTGTCTCCCTCTCTTTCTGCCCCTCTCTCACTCACGCATGCTCTCTCTCAAAAATAAATACATTTTTAAAAAAGAGTCTGCTTGTTTGTTTTGGAAAAACATTTTTTGAAGGCCTGCATATAGAGTGAGATCTGACCTGATATAAAGTTCTGAGAACATGAGAAATGTCAGCATCACACGATATTCGAATCCCTGATTGTGAAATCACCTTCTGAGGTCAAGTTTCTGAGCTCTTCCTTGGGCGTCGCAGGCTCTGTACAGAGATAGGTCTGTTGGTCACTGCCGCTGGGCTCTCCCTTCTCCGTTTTTCAGAGCACAGGGTCCCTCATTAGTGAGAGCATTTGAAATAAGTTCTGCTCAGGCATCTCACAATCGCTCCAACCGGCTCCCCTATTTGTAACTGCAGAGATGTTTAAGGGCATTTTTATTCCAGAATAGGGAGTCGGTGGTGGGCTAGCTTCTAGTGTCCAGAGATCCTCACCGGTCCTGTTAGTTTCCTTGCTGGGATGGTAACTCACCATTATGCTGTCCCTACTCATAAGTGGATGCCATTTATGACTTATTTTGAAGTAACGTGGGGCTGCGGCTGAAGTACAGATGTTTGGTCCTCCTGTGATCATGGTTGGTGAATGAAAGTGGCGGTGTTCTTGGGCTCTGGTGAGCAACTGTAGTCCCTGGCACACTTTCTGTGCTGGTGACATCTCTGAAGGCTGTAACCGTGTCTGAGCAATTTCACTAATTTTCAGCTGACTCTTTTTTTTTTTTCAACCGAAATCATTTAATGCTTACAATTTAAGAAAGTATGTAATGTTTTTTGTCCATTTTACAGGCCAAAAAAATCAGTAGAGAGATGAAGTAACTTGCTTCCATTTACAAGGCTAATTAACGCAGCAGACAAGATGAGAAATCAAGCCTATTTGATCTAAAGCTCTTAATCTTTGATTTCAAATCATCTGACTATTTCTGAATCTCTCTTAGAATTTCATTATGTACATGTTATGAATTCTTTTCTATAATCTGGATCTGTGGTCATTGTTGTTCGGTTTTGCTACACAAAGTTGGTTCATATATCACTGGTAATTTCCTGCCACAGCTGTTCAAAGTCATCGTTTCCTTTGTCCACATCTAAAAGACAACTTTAGGGGCACCTGGGTGGCTCAGTCAGTTAAGTGTCTGACTTTGGCTCAGGTCATGATCTCAGAGTTCATGGGTTCGAGCCCCGCGTCGGGCTCTGCACTGACAGCTCCGAGCCTGGATCCTACTTCAGATTCTGTATCTCCCTCTTTCTCTTCCCTTCCTTCACTTGTGCTCTCTCTCAAAAAATAAATAAACATGAAAAAAAACATGACTTTAATGTACAGGTAATTTCTGCCTTAACTCTACAGACTTGATCAATTATATTTCTTTTGCACCAGCCAATTTTTCCTCCAATTGTTTCTGCAGACCATTGTATATTACAGAAAATGGTGGCAATGTAATTTCTCAAAAGGTACCTTTGTGTGCCAGTATTCTCTTCTTGGGATTGTGATAAGTAAAGAGATTTTTATTGCTGTGGTGAGAGAACATCTCTGAACCTCTTAAATTTACTACGATAAGAAAAAGTATACTTGGATGAAAGTACTTGAAGACTCCCTGCTGTTGAATACTTTTTTTCACATGCAGTTTCTTTTTGTCTTTTAAACTAAAACTTCATTCTAGCTGTAGCACTGGCTGTAAAGAGTGTTCAGGACTATTGACACTGATCTGTTTCACACCTCCGATCAGGGCAACATTATGACTTCTGTGGCCTACTGGTAATTTTGTCCTCATGAGCCCTCCTCCTCCATTAAAAATATTAAAAATTATATTTTATAACTCCATTGATATAAAGATGACTATAGTCCAAGTTGGATTTGGATTACATTCATTGTTTCCTTATTTTAAAAGAAATTGAACATTTCAAAGGCTCCTAAAATTATTGTAGGCCCTAGGCACCATGCCTACTGTGTCTTAATGGGTATGTCGACCCTGCCCACGACATACGTGCTCCTGAAGAAATCTGATCCAGGCAGCAAAATTGACTGCCCCGAGTTTGATCAGGGAAATAAATCTCTATTTATTTAAGAAAGGGAATAAATGTCTATAAATCACCACTAGATATTTTTAGGTAAAGACTCTAATCACAAACTTCATTTATCGCTGTTTTTCATTATTTGCCCCCAGAGTTTCCTCATGACATTTTTCACTTCTGCATTTCTGAGGGTGTAGATTAAAGGGTTCAGCATGGGAGTGACTATCGTACAAAACACAGTCACAGCTTTGTCAGAGGGGAAGGAGGTCACGGGTCTCAGGTACAGGAGCGAACAAGGTACAAAGAATAAGATGACAACGGTGACATGAGAGGCGCAGGTAGACAGGGCTTTGCGACGCCCTTCAGAGCTATGAGTCCTCAGTGAGTGCAGGATGACGACATAAGAAGCAACCAGCATAGAAAAGATGAGCAAACACAGTGATCCACTGTTGGCAGCAATCAGGGGCCCCAAAGTGCGAGTGTCTGTACAGGCTAGCTCCAGGAGAGGTATTAAATCACACATAAAATGGTCAATAACATTGGGGCCACAGAACGGTAACTGGGCCATGAACAAAATCTGGATTCCTCCATGAAGAAAGCCTAAAATCCCAGCCATTCCCACGAAGAAACCACAGACAGGTCGGCTCATGATGGTCATGTAATGCAAGGGCTTACAGATGGCTACATAGCGGTCATAGGCCATGACAATTAACAACACGATCTCAGCTCCAGCGAAGAAATGTTCTGCAAAGAGCTGAGTCATGCAGCCGTTGAAGGAGATGGTGTTCTTCTCAGAGATCAGGTCATAGATCATTTTGGGTGCTATGGAAGAAGAGTAGAAACCATCTATAAGAGACAAGTAGGACAGGAAAAAGTACATGGGAGAACCCAGGGCTGGGCTGATGAAGATGGTGACGGAGATGAGCAGGTTACCTGCCAGTGTGATCAAGTAGGTGATTAACAACACAGCAAATAAGAATTTCTGCAGTTCTGGATTCTGGGTCAAGCCCAGCAAAATGAATTCTGTTACATTGCTCATCCTTTCCATGGATTCAGCTTGGGTTGTGAGCACATGGTCCATCTGGAGAGATCACAGAATTTCTGAGTAATATGTTTAATTCAACACTAAAAGTTTCCATCACCTCTGTAGTCCTGGCCTCTGGGATTGATGGAACCACAGCTTCCACTCACCCCTGCCACTTCGGAGACAGTTATAAAGAAGATTAGAAAGAGGTTAGATTTCTCTTATTCATATAAATTGAATATTAACAATATGTTACAAACACCAGAATAAAAGCAAAGTGTTAATATGTATGTTGACTTATGATGGACTTCCAAACTCTCTTTCTGGGTCTAAACCCTCACAGGTGGCTTTCTTTCTCTGTTTTTGGACAAAGTTTGTCAATAACAATTATTTTGAAGTTATATTTGCCCAGTGGCACGAATATTTATAGATATATGGACACAATATTCTTTAAAAAGTCAACTGTATATCAGATAGGAAAGTGCCAAGCCTTACTATATCTGTACCAGCAGTGTTCTTTGAGGTATGATTCCTTTCTGTCAAATGAATGCACGTACACACAGAGAGCTGCAGATGGGGTTTTCCCTCTTCAAAATGCCAAGGAACTGTCTGCATAACAGCTCATTGAGCAGCATTTCCTCAGTAGCCCTGGATGTTGTATCTGGCTCCAAATGGCTATTACACAGTCACCCTTCCCACATCTTTGGATATAAATATACAATTGGTACAAAGTTCCCTTAAAAGTTCTCAATATTTCTTAAATGGATTTTCTGTGTAACTGGTCTTTCATTACATAAAAAAATGAGGCTCTGGATTGGATATATAATACCACTCACATTTTACAAATGGAATTAGATGAGTCATAAAGTTTCCCTGGATTTCCTATTGATGAGACAGAAATGTTAAGGTCGTCTAAGATAATACAATTTTTTTCTTTTGGCATAAGTTTAATCAATTAAGATAAATTTGAAATTTTCACTGCTAATTGGTGGAAAAAGTGGAATATATACAAGCATATATTCTTTTTTTTTTTTTAATGATCTGTACATGGATTTTCAAAAGTGATTCCATGTTACAAAAGATCACAGGATATCTTATTCCTTCTCCCCCTCTTTTTCTCCTTTCTCAAATCCCTGCCAAAAAACATAACATATTTTTCCTCAAAACTTTCTGGACACAGAAACCAGCATCATGATCATTCAGCTTCCATAAAGGTGAGGAAGGATATCTTTATCTTTAGTTTTACAGAACGCTGTCTCTTTAGTCGTTTCTTCTCTACCCAGGGCTCCTATAGGTGGTAACTATGTGCCTAATCATTCTTAATTTAATTCACAAATTCTAACTTCAATGTGGCAACATGGAAGTCACGAAAAGGGGAAACAATTTCAAATAATCACATATAAAACCTACCGAAGCAATCTATTTCTACATACACGTTGACCACAATGTTGTTACAGTGACCTTAAAAGACTCTCAAAAGACGCTTAAAAGACGTCTTAAAAGATGTCTTAAAAGACGCTCTCAAAAGCGCCTCGTCTGGCAGCATCACAGATCGTGTTTTCTACTGCTATTTTCATGTCATCAAGCTCAAATTCATTTTTAGAGAATAAGATTACCTTCAGTTCAAAGAATCTAATTGTAAAACCTATTCAGTGAAAATAATTTGGCTTAATTAAGTTAACTCTCAAAATTTGGGGAAAAAGATTTAGTTATTACTGACCTGGATCTAGTTGAGTGTGAATTCCAGTTTTTAGATTGAAGTCAGTCATTGTTTTCTTCCCCTGGGGGCATAGCCCCCCAGCTGCAAATGCACTCTATAAACTAACAAGTGGGACACTGGAATTCTCTCTCTAGACAGCTCTTCCAGTCTTGGACATTTTCATTTATTTTCGTTCCCATTATCCATCTGAATTTACTCAGAAAATGGGCTGTTTGAGTTAGGAAACTGCAGTGGCTCTAGATTTAATTGCTATTCACGTTCTTGGCCTCCTGTGGAAGTATAAACACATCTCCAAAACACATAAGTTTTTCAGATCTCAGAACTGTGTTCAGTCTGTATTAAAAACAATGGGAACAATGAAAAATTCTTCAAATCAGAAAAAGCGAGTGTATGAAATTATTAAATGTATAAGTGCATCAGATCCCGTTGATTGGATGTTGTTTTTTTCCCCAAATCCTGCCAAATTTATGTTTCCCAAGAAGTCCATGAACAGTGTGGTGAGAATTCTTTCTATTCCTGATTTAAGCTCTCCTTTTAACCCTAAGGGTGGGAACAGTGTCTCCCATATAGACCTTAAGTCTATTAGTTAACGTGCTTGGCTGTTGTCATTTACTTAAATCTCCTGTAATTCTTCATTGACTCTAGAGAAATATTTAAATAGACATTCACAACGGGCAGGATTTGGTAAGGCATTGACCTCTCAAGTCCTCAGAGGATTCGTAATTGGTCCTGTTGGAATCTTCGCTGGAAGCAAAGCATCCACAAACATCATTAGAGGCCAGTTTATTTTTGTATCTTTGTTTTATTTTATTTTTTCTCCAACTTTTTGTTTAAATTCTAGTCAGTTAACATACAGTGCAGTATTGGTTTCAGGAGTAGAATCCAGTGACTTATCACGTATAACACCCAGTGCTCATCATAACAAGGTCCCTGCTTACTACACTTCACCCATCAAGCCCATCCTCCACCCACCTCCCTCCAGCAAGTCTCAGTTTGTTCTTTCATTTTCGATCTTTAAGGGTCTCTCACAGTTTGTTTACCTCTCTTCCCCCCACCACCATATGTTCATCTGTTTCTTAAATTCCACATATGAGTGAAATCATATGGTATCTTTCTTAATCTGACTTACTAATTTCGCTCAGCATAATACACCCTAGTTCCCTCTACACCACTGCAAATGGCAAGGTTTCATTCTTTTGACGGCTGAGTAATACTCCATTATATGTATATGTGTGTGTGTGTGTTTATATATATATTTGTGTGTGGGGCGCCTGGGTGGCTCAGTCGGTTAAGCGGCCGACTTTGGCTCAGGTCATGATCTCGCGGTCCGTGAGTTCGAGCCCCGCGTCAGGCTCTGGGCTGACAGCTCAGAGCCTGGAGCCTGTTTCAGATTCTGTGTCTTCCTCTCTCTCTGCCCCTTCCCCATTCATGCTCTGTCTCTCTCTGTCTCAAAAATAAATAAGCATTAAAAAAATATATATATATATTTGTGTGTGTGTGTGTATATATATATATATACAGATATATATATACACACACACATACATGTATATATATATGGTGTATATATATGCCATATCTTCTTTATCCACTCATCAGTTGATGGACATTTGGGCTCTATCCATAGCTTTGCTATTGTTGATAATGCTGCTATAACCATAGTGTTTCTGGCTATAGTTTAGGACGAGAGTGATAAGGTAAGTTGGAAAGCTTCATGATAAAACTTTGTTCTTCATTTTGATATTGGTGAGCCTGGCACAGGATAGGGGATGGTTTTAGGCACAGATCGGAGTTCAGAGAATGGATTTCTCTCTGAAAACCTGACTGTTCTAACTAATATGGTTGTCCTAACAATGGAAATACCAATTTTCAAGGTTATGTGCCATGTTACCCTGGGAAACTGTGCCATTTTTAATTCTCAGCTACCAAAGATTGGGTAAAGATTGTCATGATGAGTTCAGGGGAATATAGCTTTTCTCTCTACCCCACACAGAAGGAATTGTGGAGATTTACAGTAAAGTATAGTGCCTCCACATGGTAGCCATTGAAAAAATCACACTTAGCCAAACATTATGTATAAAGACATTCAGAAGTAAAGGTTAGAAACACTATAAAAAGGAGGCTCCACTCTAATCTCTCCCTCAGCTTCTGAGGTGTTGAAGAGTTGGCTGAAATCCTGCACAGAATCACCTTTTAAAAAAATCAACCTTTACCTTCAAAGCAAGCTGATATGCTCCTGAAGTCCAGAACCAAAAAGGGAAGCAGTGCCTTTAGCTCTGTCCTCAGCAGCTACTTTTGTTCCTTTGTTTCCTGCCAACCTCACTCACAGTCTGTCCCTCTCCCTTGTTTTTTTTTTTTAATTGTGGTAAAATATACATAATATAAAAGTTGCCATTTTAACCATTTTCAAATGTACAGTTCAGTGGCAGTAAGTACATTCACACTCTTGGGCAAACATCGCCATCAACCATCTCCAGAACTTTTTCATCTTCCCACACTAAAAATCCATCTCCATTGATCAATCACTGCTCATTTCTTCCTTCCCTCAGCCCCTGGAAAAACGCTGTCTGCTTTCTGCTTCTATGAGTTGAACTATTTTAGATATTTCATGTAAATGGAATTAGGCAGTGTTCTATCACTGGTTTAGTTTACTTAGACTAATAACCTCAAGTTTCATCCTCAAGTTTCATTTGTCACAAATGACAGAATTTTGTTCCTTCTAAGGCTGAAAAGTATTCTATGCAGTATATCTATACTACATTTCTTTTTTTTTAAAGCATTGCCTCTCTTGATGGACATTTAGGTTGTTTCCACATCTTAGCTATTGTGAACAATGCTGAAATGGACGTTGGGGTGCAAATAATTTCTTGAGATCCTGATTTCAGTATTTTTGGATAAATACCCAGAAGTGGGATTGCTGGATTATATGGTATTCTATTTTTAATTTTGTGAGAAACCTCCATACTGTTTTCCATAGTGACTCTGGCAATTTATATTCCTGTCAGCGAACAGAGGTTTTCTTTTCTTCATATCCTTGCCAATACTTGTTATCTCTTGTCTTTTTGACAATAGCCATTTTAACAGGTGTGAAATGATATATCATTGTGATTTTGATTTGCTTTTCCCTGATGGTTAGCAATGTTGAGCATCTTTTCATTTGCTTATTGGCCATTTTTACAAATTCTTTGTGGTAATGTATATTCAAGTTCTTTGCCTTTTTAAAAATTGGGATATTTTTGCTATTGAGTTGTACAAATTCTTTGTATATATTTGACATTAACCCCTTATTAAATATATGGTTTGCAAATATTTTTTCCCT